AAAAAAGGCTAATATTTTGGGGTGTATTAAGAGGAGCGTCATATGTAAGACATGAAAGCTAATTGTTCCTCTACTCAGCACTGGTGAGTTCTCCACTGGAATACTGTGTCCAATTCTGGATGCCACGCTTTAAAAAAGATGTGGATAAACTGGAGAAAGTCCAGAGGAAAGCAACACAAATTATAAACAAAATTTAGATAACCTGACCTCTGAAGAAAAGTAAAAAAAAAAAATTGGACATGTTTAGTCTTGAGAAGAGAAGATTGAGGGAGGAACCTGATAAGTCTTCAAGTATGTTAAGTGCGGTTATAAAGAAGACAGTGATGGATAACAGTCTGGTCTCCATGTCCACTGAAGGTAGGAGAAGTAGTAATGGGCTTACTCTTCAGCAAGGGAGATTTAGGTTAGATATTAGGAAAAACTTTCTAACTATAAGGATACTGAAGCACTGGAGTAGGTTTTCAAGGAAGGTTGTGGAGTCTGTCATTGGAGGTTTTTGAGAACAGGTTAGACAAACATCTATCAGGGATGGTCCAGGTATGCTTGGTCCTGCCTCAGTGCAAAGGGTTAGCACTAGATGACCTCTCAAGGTCCCGTCCAGCCCTACCATTTCTATGATTTTTGATTCTATGAGCAGATGAGGTGCACAAGAGCCACCTCTTCGGGACTGGTATTGAAAACTCCGACTTGAATACACTGGGCGTGCACACACTTAAAGTGGAATAGATATATGTACAACACATCTTGAAGACCCAAGAGTTACGCTAATTAACCATTTTCCAGGTCTACAGGGAGTAAAATAGACACCAGAGCACTTAAGTATCAGAGAACTTGCTTCTGCCTCCCAGCAGCCCAGGCAGATTAAGATGTATTGCTGATTTGTGCACAAGGTATGGACCATGTAGCAGAAAAGTCTTTTATGCTATAGGAAACAAAAATTAAAGCTACAAAAAGGATAATTACTAGAATCTCAAGTGAAGGCCGTTTCCCTCCATCTGTTTAATGGTGCCTTCATGCTCAGTATGTTTTACTGCTAGCACCAACCCTTTGGTTAGGCTTGCTGGCTAGGCACTCATCAGACAGAATATTTTAATCTTACCTATAAGTTATTTTCTCTGATAGGAATTCAATATCCCCCTGCATGAGAAGGAATAGAAGATTTTTCCCACTGATAATTCTTTGGTGTATATCTGTGAATAGTGCCATAATAGAGGCTCAAACTAATTGTATACCCCCATATTAAAAAAAAAAAAAGTAAGAGAACAAAAAAATGCCACCATGGCTAAACAGAGTGAATGAGGTAGAGACCAAAAAAAATTGTTTAAAAATTGGAGGTCAAATCCAATGAAGGAAAATAGAAATGAGCATAAATTCTAGCAAGTCAAGTATAAAAGGCCAAAAAATAAACTGAAGAGCAACAACCAAAAGACACACAAACTAACTACAAAAAGTTTGAGTACACCAGATGCAGGAAACCTGCCAAGCAATCAGTGGGGTCATTGGACAATCGAGGTACGAAAGGAGCACTCAAGGAAGACCAGGCAAGTAAGAAGAAGCTAAATGAGTTCTTTGCATCTGTCTTCACTGCAGAGGATGTGAGGGAGATTCACACACCTGAGCGGTTCTTTTTAGGTGACAAAACTGAGGAACTGTTGCAGATTGAGGTGTCAGTAGAAGAGGTGTTGGAACAAATTTATAAATTAAACCGTAGTAAGTTATCAGGAGTGTATAGCATTCACCCGAGTGTTCTTAAGGAACTCAAATATGAAACTGCAGAACTAACAACTGTGGTGTATAACTTACTACTTAAATCAGTCTCTGTACCAGATGATTGGAGGGTAGCTAATGTGACACCAATTTTTTAAAAAGGCTCTAGAGGCAATCCTGGCAATTACAGGCCAGTAAATCTAACTTCAGTACAAGGCTAATTGGTTGAAACTATAGTAAAGAACAGAATCATCAGACATAGAGATGAACACATTATATTGGGGAAGAGTCAACTTGGCTTTTGTAAAGGAAAATCATGCCTCATCAACCTATTAGAATTCTTTGAGATAGTCAACAAATATGTGGAGAAGGGTGATTCAGTGGATATAGTGTACTTGGACTTTCAGAAAGCCTTTGACAAGGTCCCTCATCAAAGGCTCTTAAACAAAGTAAGCTGTCATGGGATAAGAGGGAGGACTCTCTTGTGGATAAGTAACTGTTTGAACAAAAGGCAGGACTAAATGCTCAGTTTTCACGGTGGAAAGAGATAAATAGTGATGTCCCCCAAGGATCTGCACTGGGACCAGAGCTGTTAAATGTATTCATAAATGATTTGGAAAAAAGGGTACACACTGGGGGGAAGCAAAGTCTGCAGATGATACAAAATTACTCAAGATAGTTAAATTCAAAGCAGACTGCAAAGAGTTACAAAGGGATCTCACAAAACTGGGTGACTGGGGAACAAAATGGCAGATGAAGTTCAGTGTTGATAAATGCGAAGTAATGCACATCGGAAAACATCCCAACTATACATTCAAAATAATGAGGTTCTAAATTAGCTGTTATCACTCAAGAAAGAGATCTTGGAGTCATCGTGGATAGTTCTCTGGCAACATCTGCTCAGTGAAGAAAGCTAACAGAAAGTTAGGAACTTTTGGGAAGGGATAGAAAATAAGACCGAAAAGATCATAATGCTACTATATAAATCCATGGTAACCCTCATCTGGAGTACTGTGCAGTTCTGGTCTCCTCATTCTCAAACAAGATATGTTAGAATTTGAAAAAGTACAGAGAGAAAGGCAACAAAAATAATTAGGGATATGAAACAGCTTCCGTATGAGGAGACTAAAAAGAATGGGACTGTTCATCTTAGAAAAGAGAGGACTGGTGAGGCGCCGGGAGGGAGGGGAAAGAAGGTATAAATTTAAATAAATAAATTAAAATTAAATTAAATAAATATATTTTTTTAATTAATGGAGATATCCTATCTCCTAGAACTGGAAGGGACCTTGAAAGGTTATCGAGTCCAGCCCCCTGCCTTCACTAGCAGGACCAAGTACTGATTTTGCCCCAGATCCTTAAGTGGCCCCCTCAAGGATTGAACTCACAACCCTGGGCTTAACAGGCCAATGCTCAAACCACTGAGCTATCCCTCCCACTGATGATGATGATAGAGGTCTATAAAATTATGAATGGTGTGGATAAAGTGAATAAGGAAGTATCATTTACTCCTTCACACAGGTGTCTCCCAATGAAATTAGTAGGCAGCAGGTTTAAAACAAACATAAGTACTTCTTCACACAAGGCAGTCAACATGTGGAACTTATTGCCAGGAGATGTTGTCAAGACCAAAAGTATAACTGGGTTAAAAAAAAAATTAGATAAATTCATGGAGGATAGGTCCATCAATGGCTATTAGTCAAAATGATCAAGGATGCAACCCTGTGCTCTGGGTGTCCCTAAGCCTCTGGGCTAGTCTACACTGGCAACGCTAAAGCGCTGCCGTGGCAATGCTTTAACATGGTTTATCTAGTCACAGCAGAGCGCTGGGAGAGCTTTCCCAGTGCTCTTAAAAAACCCATACCCATGAGAGGCGTGGCTACCAGCGCTGGTGCACTGTTTACACTGGCGCTTTACAGCGCTGAAACTTGCTGCGCTTAGAGGGGTGTTTTTTCACATGTAGAATAAATAAACATACACACATTTTTAATTGACTAAAATGTTACTAATTGTTTGTATTGCTATGCTATTTATCTTTGGAACTAAGGAAACTAAGGGTTTTAGTAATGTTGTTCCCTAAGTTAAGGGGGTGATGGTGTTGGGATATGGGAGGAACCCTCACCTATTTTACCTCCCTCAGAAGATAGTGATTTCATGGTAGTGGGGTCAAGAAGAACCTCATACTCTCTTCTTGTTCCTTCAGAGAGGTTGGTGCTTTTTCCTAGCTTTTTTCCATTGTCTCCACCTCTACCATTTTCCTTGACTGCATCAGCTGCTGTAATACCATGTGACACCTCCCCTCCTGCCCCAGCAATTATAGAGTAGCAGCATTAGGTTTTTAGGGTTAAGTTGGTGCAGGGGGAACAGCTGAAGACATCTCTAGTGTGTGTCTTTACGCACTTTCTATCTGGTTTTGTGCCTGTGCCATACACTCTCTTACTCCTTGATTGCCCTCTTCCACTGACGGGCAGTGTTCATTCAGTGCCTTAACTTATCAAGCAGCTGAGCCTGCTCTTCATCCATGGTGACCTAGTATATGATAGATGTTAAACAGCTCTTGTCTCCTGTTTACTTGTCTGTCCCCCTTCCTGCTATCATAACTGTTGATGGCAGACTTTGTACACCTCATTATGAGTAATGTAAAAGTGTTTCCCCAATACTGTGGTCCCCACTTGAGTTCTGAGAGACCATGGCTCAGTTTTTTGTTGCAATGGTATAGGTGGCTCTTTGGTTATCAGCCACAATCAGCATAAAGAAGTCCCACCTATTATTTTTTAGTTTAGAATGTTTCCCATCATCAACAGTTTAATCAAATCATATACTCTATTTTAAAATTGTGACCCATGGCTCATTGACTATTATCAACATTAGAAGACTTCCATCTTGCAAAATAAATGAGATGCTTATCCCCAGAGAATGTTACCCTGCTGAAAATGTTATCTTGCTAGAGTTCTGAAATAAGACAGAATGCTTCTGTTCTCAACAAACTTGTTAGATTGAATAAATACCTCAAGCACAGTTTTGGTTTTTTAATTAATTTGCCTTTGAGCAGCTAATTATTTATCCTTTTTTAACACTAGAAAACAATGCATGTAGACCGGGGCTCTAGCAGTATTTGTTCTGTCTCCACCAGCTAAGGGAAGGCCTGTTGATTTCTGAATTTGTACTCACACAGTTGTGTGAAGTACATTCTCAGTTATAAAATTGCTTTCTGAAAAGATTGTTCTGAAAAGTCATTTGCATTTATACATCTTTTTAAGAGTATCTGATACGTTTTCTTTTTTTCTTGACAGTCTGTGGTGGACGACTGGATTGAATCATATAAACAAGACAGGGATATAGCACTTCTGGATTTAATCAACTTCTTTATCCAGTGTTCAGGATGTCGAGGTACCGTGGAAAAAAGTGATTTAAAATAAATCTAAACTAAGTGACAGTCATACAATGTATATTTCAGTGTGAGTGCTTCTAAACATGCAGGAGACCTTGGGTCAACACTCCTCATGCATGGTTTAGTCAGGCAGTTGTAGTATTTTGTGTACTTCATGGAATAATTCCAGTTAAAGTTTGTTTGTCGAGAGCCTTCTCTCTCTCTTTCCCCGTCCCCATTCTAAAGAGTACAAATCCTCACAGAGATTGGTATGACTCCATCAACTAGCAAAAAAGGAGACAGGAGTTATTAATCAAGGTAGGTATATATTTATATTACCTCCCAAATCTTTTTTTTCTTAACCAGAAGCCCTGTGTGCAGGTGTACCTTAACTTTTTCCTTTTTTTCTTCCCTCTAGGAATTAAGTTTTGAAAATTGAAGAGAGAGGATTTTTTCTTAGGCTTCAACTGCCTTCACATTAACCCCAAAGACCACTCATTTGGGGATAGGGCACCAATCCTGTCTCTCTCAAATTCCCTTTCGAGCTATCAGGGATAAGGCAATTATCCTGCCCCACCCTCAGACTTTCTCCATTGGTGTGAGAGTGGCAGCCCTTGTAGGATCTCACCTGCCACCCCATCTTCTTTGTGAGCATACACTAGGTCAGTGGTTCTCAACCAGGGGTCCGGGGCCCCCAGTGGGCCGCGAGCAGGTTTCAAGGGGACCGCCAAGCATGGCTGGTGTAAGACTCGCTAGGGCCCAGGACAGAAAGCCTAAGCCCCACCGCACGGGACTGCACCCTCGGGCCCCAAGCCCTACCACCTGGGGCTGAAGCCAAAGCCTGAGCAACTTAGCTTTGCAGTGCCCCCTGTTGCGTGGGATCCTGGGCAATTGCCTTGCTTGCTATCCCCTAACGCCGGCCCTGGCTTTTATATGCAGAAACACAGTGTTGTGGCACAGCTGGGCTGTGGAGTTTTTATAGCATGTTGTGGGGGCCTCAAAGTTGAGAACCCCTGTGCTAGGTGTCTTTGTTCTTTCACTTGTCCAAAATAAATAAATATAAAAAATGTCCAGCTCTATTCACCTGAAGAGACTGTATGCATTGAAATCCCCTTCAAATCCGTGTCAGTTCTTGCTCTACTTCCACAGTAGATAGCAGCAGGAGAGAGTGGGTTACCCTTTGTAGGCTCTGGAGGACTCCAAGGACTCAGGATCTCACTTTCTGCTTGTTTTGGCTGGAATGGAATAGTTAAACCAATGATACTTAGACTGAGGCTTGAGAGCCGCAAGTGGCTCTTTAATGTGTCGCTTGCGGCTCTTTGCAGCACAGAATATTAAAACACTGTGTGATTTAATTATTAACCAATCTAAGTTATTAACCAATTGTAGTTGATAAAATAATAATACTTGGTCAGTCATTTTGCTGTGAGAATAATATATATAAAAATAGTAAATGGAAAAATGAATTCACACCACTGTGGCTCTTTTGAGTAATGTTGATTGCTAATTTGGCTCCTGAACCACTGAGGTCTGTTTGAATGTAATGGTACTTTTTTTCAAGCCATTTTAGAGACAGTTTTAGGTGCAATCCCCATGTTCTCTCAACAGTCAGAGGCATCAGGCCAACAGCATTCCCTTTCTATTCCTAAGCAGCTTGCCTCAGCAGACCTTTTGGCAGCATGGGAGAGGAAACTTCTATTACAGGCTGTACAGTGGGGTTCTCCCAGGATTTGAGGCTTTCTTTTCCGTGGTTGTTAGGGTTGAGGGTTCAGAACCACTCTGTGTCAGTGGCTCTAGTACTTCTGACTGAGGAGATTCCTCAGAATGTTTTCAAAACTTGTTGGGCAGCTTGCTTCAAAGTGGTTATATTCTGTCCATTTGATCTCTTCCTCCCTCCCTCCCAATTTCCATTTGCTGATGTGTCCCTGAGCCAGATGCACTGGCCGCTGCAGAAATCACAGAGGTTATGGAAAGTCACAGAATCCGTGACCTCCGTGACAAACTTGTAGCCTTAGTCATAGATTTTTAAGGCAAGAAAGGACGGTTAATGTTTTATTTTCTGATCTCCTATGTTACACGTGTCGGGGGCTGGACACATACAGGAGTGCCTCCTACTGGTCACCGGTGGCTCTGAAATCCTCTAGGTCATGGTGCCCATTTTCCCAAAAGCATTTTGAAGTATACAGATGAGGTCAAGATCATTCAAGAAGTCTGGTTCTTCAGGACCGGTTTTATTAACTCAGAAGAAAATAATAATTCCTTTTACCCCTATCACGGGGACAGATTCAGTCCTTTCCCAGCCTTTCTGCTTGGGCAAGTTTGATCTCTCTTCCCTGAGGTCTTCATAAAGTCTACTCTGTTGGGCATTAAACTAACTAACACAAAGTCCAGAAATTTAATCAATTCAAAGTCCAGCTGTCTTGGCCCACCATTCGAAGTCAATTTTCATAAATCTTACCAGTCTACTCCCTTTGTCCAGCAGGAATCCAAAGATTCCCTAAACCCTCTTCAGGGTTTCCCCCCCAGGAACCAATCTCTCACCTGTTGGGGGTCTCTCGAGCCTGTACTGACCCCCAGGCTTGTGTGCCTCAGGGCTCTCCTCTCACTGAGCTTCTAACTCTCTTTATTTCTTCTTTTAGTTCCTTCCCACAGCTGGTATTAATCAGTTCAATTAATCTCCCTTGTTAGGAAGGTACTAAAATCAGATGCCCTCACTCTAGGGCCTAATTAATCAATTTAAGGGGTATGCTGATCCGGCACAGGTGCACTGGCCCTATATTACCCTCAAGAGTCAGTCACCCTGTGACAACATGTGACAAAATTTTGCCCAGTGATTCTGTATCTAGCCCAGAAACTTGTGGTTGAACTGGAGTATGAACTCCCCAAGAAAACTAAGCTTCATATCCCTGTGGGGATCTAATCTGTTACTAAATATTCTCACTAGTCCTGGTTTTAAACAAAGGAAAATTTTGGATTCAGCTTTTGAATAGACCTTCTATTAGGCATCTGCTTATTCAAGAAAGTGTGAATTCAGAATTGTCAACCCCAGGCATTGAAAAATCATGCCAGGACCCAAAAAATTGAAAATTTAAAAATAATAAATTTTGGATTCTTTCTTTCGTTTTGGGTTTTGAGTCATTTTGGTTCATGTGTTCAAGCTTGTTTCCAAAGTTGAATGATCATATGACTCTAGGAGCTGGGAATTTAAGAGAAACACTAAGTATCACAAGACTTGTGATAAAATCATGAATTGAATTGGCAGCATTGTTTCAAGCTCTGCCAGGGGCCTTCTAGCTATAGACAAACTAAGCAGCTGCCTAAAGTGGCAGATTTCTGGGAGAAGTTTTTTTTTTTTTTTAAATGTTCATGGCCTGTACTTCTGCTGCTGCCAATGCTGCTCTCCTGGAGCTATCCCTGTCATGGGCACCCCTGTTGCCTTCAGCTGCCATGCTGTCAGCCCTCTGCCCACTGTACTATACAGCCCCAACCCACCCTGCATAGAGCTCCACCCATTGTACCTCAGCTTTGCCCACTATACCATGCAGCCACACACTGGACCATAGAAGTCTGGCCACTGTACTACATAGCCACGCCCACTGCATGGAGTTCCACCCATTGTACACAGACCCCTGCCCACTGTATATAGCTTCACCCATGGGGGCAGCACACTGAAGTTTTGTCGAGAGTTACAGATTGTCCTGAGGAGTCTTTGAGCTTTGCCCACTAGGGATTCTTAACTGGAATTTCATTAAGAGAAATTGGCGATTAAGCATGTTCCCAAGGTGATTTCCCTTTTCACTTGGCTCAGGAAGCCTCTCTCTACCTTATTTTGTCCATCCATTCTTGAATGAAAGGAACTTCCATTATCTGTTTTTATCAGGTGTCCCAAAAAAGTCCCAAGTGCTTCCAAGGCTTCGATGGCTCAGTGGGTGTAGATTACATGAAATAATTTTATACTGCCTGAGACACGGAAGCTCTGCCATCTATCAGAGCCTTTCTCTGAAGACCAATGACTGAATCAGATTTGTGGGTTGAGAGAGGAGTTGCAACCCTTTGGAACCGAATGAAAGCATCTATCTGTGTTTTTTTTAAGGATCTTTTCATATCAGACTTCACAAGTCAGCTTTGGTGGATGCTGTTAGTAGTTTTGTTTAAATTATTGATTAACTAGACATTAGATAACTTGGCTCAATCAATTTATTAAATCAGCACAAGCATAGAGGTTTATACATTACCAGTCTGGAGTGCTGGGGGTTGGGGCTCATCAGGGGTGTTCTGAGTGCAGGGGGTGAAGCTCAGTGGGAGGGTCTGGGTATATGGGGGTCTGGATGCACAGGGTTTGGGGGTTGGAGGAGCAGCATAGAGGTTTATACATTACCATTCTGGAGAACAGTCTTGCAGTAGTTACATTTTTTAATATGTCCCAAGATATGAGCTCAATTGTGTATTACAAGTAGATGATTCCACTGTATTATTAGACCTTACTTCTCTTTTCTAATTTAGTTTCATACCCATATTTTAGTGTACAAAGACATCTGTACCAACCATCCCCAGCATAATGTACCAGCCATACCTAGCATACTTCATATTTGGCGAGCCTGACAAAACATATATCTTGTTTCTGATAGATTTTCTATATACGAAGAACAGAGGGTATGGTTATACAGTTTAACTACTAGTACATTTCCACAATAATGCTTAGCATGAGTACAAGACATACTGGAAATATATGATATTGGCTAACAGTCTCTTCGGGAAATGGATCTTGCATTATGAATCCATTTGCCTTTCAAGTTTTCTTTGTGGCTCATTCTGGTTATAGTTGATAACTTGATCTAGGCTAGAAATGTTTGTTCTAGATCAAAGGAGTGGTTAATGTCCACAATAGCCTTTACAAATGTGTTAAGTGCCTGAAGATAGTTAGCAGTGGACAAACTCATGGTAGAAGTCTAGTGTAGACAAATTCTAAATTTTATACTCCTGAGGGCATTCTGCGCCAAAAGATTAAAAAATCTGTGCC